ACCGGCACCGCGCGACGCCGCTGGGCCGCCGACCGCCGCTCCCACCCCCTACGCGGTGCGGGAGCCGGGACGAGGCCGATCGCCGCTCTCGCGAGGCGTCGCCAATTGGCATCGCGAGATCGCCTGGAGGCAAAGGGCCCGCGCAGTTGCGTGCAACAACACCCGAGAGGGCAGGCAGCTCGCTGAGGGAGGATGCCAGCAACAGATTGGAGAGGGCGGTAGAGGATCTGCCGCTTCTCGAAGGTATTAGCTGGCGGTGGCTATGACCGCTTTTGTTCGAGTTATTTCACTGGTTTTGCTGCTGAAACTGCCCATTCCGCGGGGTACGGTGGACTGGAATGGGAGGCAGGTGGGGGCCATTTTCTCGCTGGCGATCAGCCGTTAAATTCTGGCGGGTGCCGACTTTGCGCCGCGACCTCGGCGCCCAGTTCTGTCGGCATCCGTCGCCCTGTGGTCCCTACGGAAGCGGAAAAATGATCGGGCCACTGGCCGACGAGCTGCGGGCGGGAACTGGGCTTCGTCTGCGGCGGCGGACCGAGTGTCAGCGCCTTCAAAGTCGGCACCCCTCTTGCCCTCCGTGCCATTGTTCACACATCGCAGCGCGAGTCACTGCCAGTGCCCCGACCGGCCTGACAGGGAAGTGACTGGACCGACCGGGCCATGACTAGGGGCTCTTGGGGGCGGTAAAATGGGCGGACGACAGTCATGACCCCGACCGTGACTTGCACTCTTGAGACGCGCACATCCTCGAGGTTGGTGGGGCGGAAAGTGCGGCGAAGCGTGAAACAGCACCCACATATGGGTGTACGCCGGCGCAAGCCACGAAATGCGAATCATGTGTGCAATCGCAAAATCACATCCCAAAGTTAGTAGCTCACAACACCCTCGTTGTATTCATCCCACAGTTCTAGTGTTCAGGCAGCACGGATTTCCATTTTCGATACATGCCACAAGCTGCATCAAGACTTGGTATTTACGTTTACGCTTTTATGCACAAAGCGTGAAAATGCAAGAGAGGCTACTTTTTGGCTATATTTACGGCTCGTTGGGACACCCACGTTACATGGTGAATTCGCATACAGGCCAGTCCTCCGCCCCCTGGAGCACCCGCAACACAGAGTCCTCGCATCACCAAGGGCAAAGACGTCGTCGAACAAAACGTCGTTTTCTGCCCACTCCAGCGCGTCTGGCTGCACTCCCTGGACTCTTTGAGTCTGCATGTACTATGTTTATGTACACCGACTCAAAATTTATGTATTTTAAGTGAAAAATGTAAATATGATTTTGCGCACAAATACGCATACTCAGAGTGTACGCCATAGAGACCAAGCCTGGCTGCATCAGCGCGATTCTCACTGCACCGTATCGACGTATTTCAAAGTACAAGTGAAGCTTCATCTTCACAAGGAAGTATTAAATATGAACTGCATAAGGCAAGAAAATATACAGAATAAATGTGACTAAAAATGAACAAAAGAGGGGGCTAAAGCACGTGGCCATGGTTATTTAAATCAACATATCAAAATGGATCAAAATTAGTGAAGATGTTGTGCATGTGGAGCGCCACAGGCAGCGCCGGATTGCCCTTTGTTGGGCACGCACTGGAATACTTCGAGAACAAACATGCTTTCATTGCTGGAAGAGTGCAAGAATATGGACTTGTGAGCAGGGCGTCGCTGTTTGGGAGGCATGCGGCCATAGTTGCAGGCAATGACCTTCTACACCAAGTACGCATCTGAATTTGTGGGAATATGATGGAACGTAAATTTGAACTCAAGATGAACACATAAGAATGAAAAATGAAAGCAGGGCCTTATCGGGTACCATATATGAAACGATATATGTTTTTCACCTTTTGAAAGTTCAACATGAGAATATGGTGGATGTTGAGGGTTGGCGTTAGAATTTTGGTTTGTGTGACTCTAACCATTGTTTCTGTTAAACTTTTTCCCCTTCAGGACTGCAATTCCTAGTTGATTGTTTTCGAGCAAAATTTAAAAGCTCAGAAATGGCTCATGCGGCATGGTTTGGCTCTTTTACGTGCAGATCATGGTCAAAGATCCTGGATTGTTGATTCAAGGGTACTACCCAACTATAGCCGCCCTTGTCGGTCCTTGCTCTATATTAAACGCCGACGATGAGCTCACCTGTGAGGGGCATTTGATTGTAATTTTAAAGCATCATTCAAATATACGACTATGGAAACTTCACTATTGTACAAGCGTCGCCATCGATGGAATGCGCTATGCTGCATCGAAAGCTCGGAGACCTGCGGTATGCGATACCCAAAGTACATTTTTCTCGAAGAATGGCACAAGATATTGTACCTCATTTTTATTGGATAACTTCTAGTAGATACGGGAATTCTTTCGAGCTTCAGTTGAATTAGAGGGTACCGTACGGAATATGGTTACAGTTAGCTGTGCCGTTGGGGAATTGCTCTTGCCAGCGTATTAAAACATGTCATTGATGTATTGAGTAACAATATTGAGTAACAATCTGCATTGATTCCAATTGTAACATAGATGTATCAATTGGAATTTGCAGGTATATCCAGAAATACAAGCACTGTACCATTGGCGCAATGCTGGTTACATTGATGCACGAGTGCTGCCATCCATTACGGCTGCCAATAGATCCATGTCCCAGTGCCTCAGAGGCCATCAACAATCAAAAGGGTGGTCCAGATTAGTCTGAAATATTACTTGAACATCCTTGGGATATGTTTTGGGTGAGTACCATTGACTGCCTGTGCCTCGACATTTGGCAACCGAGTACACAGACCCGATGAAACGGACGAGAAATTGTGCCGCCACTGCTGTTCAACGCCAAAATTGCCAGCACAAATGTGCTTCTTTGTTACCCCTTTTGGGCGCTGTCATGTTTAGGATTCCAGCAAATGCACTACCTTTTTGATGTATTCAAAAAACAAATGAAAAAACAAGCCTTGGTCTACCTTAGGGAATGGTATTCAGACACGAGTCTCCATATTTTACTTTGTATACAAGTTGACTAAGTTGCTCATCCTAATTTCCATCTCAGTTCATGACTTTATTTATTGCTTTGTACACAAATGTTGAAGTTTTTGACACTAACAGATGGTCAGGGGTTATCCAAGACATGCTTGTTGTACCCCCACACTATTATTGTAACTCCAGAACGGTTGAATACTTCATGGTGTGATTGTTCAATGAGAACTCCAGGTGAAGAACACATGCTGGTGAGAAAACTGATGGCTCCGGATTCTCCAAAAGGAGCGTCGCTTCATACATACGAGACATTGCAAGCATGTCGGAGGGCTTGTGCAGCAAGTGGAGCCAGACCAAAACGATTCGGTTTGTGGATGAGGTGAACTAAATTGTCTTTCTCAATATGTGACTTCTAAGCCTGTAAAGACGCGATTCTCTGTCCGCCCTACCCCCATGTTTGTTACCAGGTGTGCGAAACTGGTATCGATGACTGTTTTTCAGAATGAGAAGTAAATTTATGTACAAAAGGAGCCAAGTCAGGCTCCCTTAATTCGCCCTTTCCAAAAGCAACGCTTGCATCAAGGCCCAAGTCTCTCACGCTTTATTCAATGGAATCAACGCATACCTGTTTATTGCGTCTCAAGTCGAACGATGACATCACCACACCAAGTTCATCGACTTTTGTTGAGCCAGATGATACATGACCAGTTCCCTGCATACAACCTATCCTTGGTGTTGACGCTATGTGCCATTTCAATGGGGCAATATCACAGTATCGCCAGGGTATTCTGTGTTTTAGCGCGCCTCTTATTCAATACATTGTGGGTGCTTGAATGCTACTTAAATCAGAAAAAGTGTTTTGGCGTTCTGACATTCGGAACATCTGTGATGCAGATGCGAGTTTTGGCTTTCAGGGTGCTAACAGAGGTAGCGCTGGGTTTGAAGTTTCCTTTGGGGACTTGGTGTATTGAGGATGCGGTTGCAGCTTTCAATACATGGGCTGGTGGCGTGCACGCCCTCAATGTTAACCTGCCATTCACTAAATTTGGTAGGGCCATGAAAGGAAGGCGTCGTCTAATCAACATGATAAGCAAGGTAGGATAATTGATATAATGTATCAAATGACCCTGGCGTCAACCCTGACAGGGTTTGTGGTTGAGGGAGCATGCATGCCCATCATATGGCGGGAGATACAAATTGAAGGCATGCAGGGTGCCTACCCGATTCAATCATAAGTGCTATTCACTTGCTCCAAGCCTTAGAGAGGAAGAGAAAATGATTTTGTCCATTATTTTTCTAATTCAACCTTGTGGAACAGCTGTTGTGCCCTTGGAGGGATGCTCCTGTTCTTCGAAAGCTACCACGCTGTAGGCGAGTGGGTCGCAAACCACTATCGCTCTCAGGAAAAAAGTTGCATATCCAGGATATGGAGGTCCCCATATCCTGGTTGTCGAATATGATATGGACGCCATACTTGGGATATGCCGACGATACTGTCATATACTGGTATTGGCGGCCATATCCTGGGATATGAACCCACATATCCAGGACATACATACCCTCCAGCATCACAATTAACATCCAGGATATGGCAGGGGTATGGGCCTTTCCATATCCCAGGAAATGCAAATTTTTTCGGAGGTCATCACTCTCGATCAGCAGAGAGACCAACTGAATGCAACATGCTACACACAAGCATCATCCCAAATGTCAATTTATTGCGCCAGAGAGAAAATAAGTGTACGTTAAACATTTCGATCCACTTCCCACTATGGTTTATTTGCAGGGAAGGACAAGTCGCATTGCAGTTTTGTTTGCTTCTTTACCTCTTCAACCTTTTCTACCATGCATTGGCATAGTATGTATATTTGTCTGAATATCAATTTTGCGACTTCCTATTGTCAGGCCATCGACGTCATTGTGGAAGATCCTGCTTCCGGGGGTGGCGGTATGGTAGATATGGTTCTGGCTCGGGACGAAGACGGTAGGTGCCTCAAAAGAGACCAGCTGCAGGACAACGTCCTTTCACTCATGTACGCCGGCTATGACACGACGGCGTCAGTCGCATCAAATGCTGTCTGGCAGCTGGCTAAGCACCCCGAGGTAGGAATCCACACATGGGTGAATATGGATATGAATTCAATAAGCGGGCAGATTTCCACGTGAGGATATCTCATATCGCGCCGCAGCGTCGTACTTCCAACAAATTGTTTTGGGATTCAGCCATCTTGTTCAAGAGGGGTGCTGTGCATATGTTGCAATTGCTGCCGCTGGTCCTGCATCATCTCAAACTAGGTTTGTTCTTAGCAACCTAAAATTCAATACAAAATGGCCCCAACTATGTATATAATTATTGCATCGGTCGTAATTTAATATGCATAATTTGTGAAATTGTATTGATATTACTGCTGCCAGATTTTTCATTATGTTCCATAATTATGATTCAGCTTGTAATTGAGCATTGGACTATGCACCTTTGGAATGTTATTAGCAAAAATTCAAAAAATGAAAAATGGTCAAATCGACAAGTCAATTGACCGCTATGTTAGCAGTGCTGTATTTTTGATTATTTTAATACTCAAGGCGCTGATCCGGACGCGAATATTGCTGTCTGGTTATATACATCAATGGACCACGTTTTCCAAGTGGCGGCCATGTAATTCGTGTGTAGCTGGCCCAGAAGTCCATTGACATGTGACAGCGGATTGCATCGACTTTGTAAGAGCTATGATCATTGAAATTCCAGTTTTCGGCAAGGCAGAAGACCTTCTCTTCTCCTGATGAACGCAGAAAACAACAACTTAAACTGGCCAGCGACCTTTCAATGACTCCAAATGCCCCACCTTACCATGTGAAACAAACATACTGTGCTGCGGCATCTTTGCGGCGAACATTGAAACCGCAGCGCTTTCTGATATTTTTTCGTTGGCATATAAGAAACGCAGTGTGTTTCTCTTTTTTCACCGCAACATATGCGTGACGTAACAGCAACTTTCGGATTTCGTCGTCCAGGTTTGGGACAAGGTAAAGGAAGAACAGGCCGGAGTCGTGGCAGAGTACGGACCTGTCTTCACGGAGGTAGCCGTCGAGGCCATGGTATACACGGAGGCCGTGGTCAAGGAGGCCATGCGAGTGATGCCCCCCCTTGCCGCCAATTTCAAGATCGCCACAAAGACCTTCGGCCTGGCGGGGCGCCGCATACCCAAGGGTTGGATGGTGGTCACCGCCACCGGGTCCACCGCGCAGTACTTCAACGACCGGTGGCCCATGGACGCCGATTTTCGCCCCGAGCGGTTCCTGACCGGCAAGGCTCCGGATGCCTGCCAGGATATGGTCTTCGGTTTGGGCGCCCACACGTGCATTGGAAGTCGTCTGTCCCTCGTGGAGAACACGGTGGTTCTCGCGACGTTGGCGAGGGGTTACGTCTTCAGCCTCGTAGAGGACGGCTCCCGCGTCGTCAGCGACCCGATGCCCCGCCCCGAGAATGGCTTGCCCGTGTGTGTGACCAGGCGGGGCGACCCGCGCAACCAATGACACAAAAAGTGCTGCATCACATGAGCGGTGGTGTCAGGGCCAAAATTTTGTGCAAGGAAAATGTTGATATATTGGAAAGCTTATCCAGATTCAGTCTGCATCTGGATGGATCATCGCTGGCGGGAATGTCAACAGATCTGAAGGCATTGCGGCCCACCCATTGGAGGCCCGCGGTGGTTCGTGGGCGCAACAGCGCCCTTGTTGTTGACGGGCATACATGAAGCAGCGCGAGCGTTCCGCCCTGCAATTTGTGAATCGGCACAGGACGATTCGCCCGAGGCTTGCTCTTGCTGGTTCAAGGAGAGAGTGCAATACAGACAACGTCGCAAACTCTCAGAGCGCTCCGTTTTCCGCAGAAAATAATGCGAGCGCTGTTCTTACAAGGTTTCGTGTCCTCGAGGCATCGAATCTGGGATGCCCACGACTCCATTCGCCTACACCATAGTATATTCAGCCCTTGCGCATACTTGCATTACGCTTGCTATTTTTTGCAGATAAAACAATAAAATAAACAACGCTCTTTGATGAAACTTGGGCGCAGCAACGTAGAAATAGCAAAAACAACGCTCTGAAAGAAAATTGCGGGCAACAATAAATTTTCCTACATGGAAGGGTTGAATATTTTACTGCAGTTTTCTTCATCGCAGAACATGAGCTGGAGGATGTACGGTTGGTGGTCACCCTCTCCCAGCTTGCAGTGTCACTCCGCGCGCCGCTCCATGCCAGGGGTACCCCACTTGGCTGCTTCCTGTCCTTGAAGGCAATGCGGGGGTCTGAATGTGCAAGTACTTCCAAACGAGGACAATGTGCTATCTCAGGCCGTGCAAGTACATCCGCGCGTGTGGAATGGCAATGAGGACTCGATGACATGGTTGGGAGGCAAAACATGAATAATGCTCTGTTCGCAACACCGCACAATGACCATCCTTTATCTAGGTGGATCACTTATGCATTATGATGTGCGACTTGTATGCATGTCATGAATATGGTTTATATACAAGGCATTCTGCATCTATGAAAAGAAAAGAAAAATGTGTTTTAGTGTTCACATGATTATTGTGGTGATGAGTGGACATTTTCGAAGTGTCGTATGGCTAGTTGTTGATGGATGATGGTTGTTGTCATGTGAAAAAAAGGAGTTCCGTGGGTGCAAGATGATTCGAATTGTTCGGTTGCGGGGTTCGTTGCCACCGCCGGGAAGGCTCTTCGCTGTGGGAAGGGTGAACAAATATGTAAGCCCTGGGCGTGTTGTGTGTGGTGTGTGGTGTGGCCTTGCGTCTGGCCATGTACCAACGCCGTTGAAGCATCGGCGATCGTGGATTCGCGCTTCCCGTGTGCACTCCAAAGGTGGCCGTTTGAATCGCATCAACGGCCATTTCCTTCAAGATGGCTTCGGAGCATCGAGGCAAGTTCTGGGGCAAGGCGACTGTGGCCAGAGTGAAGAAAAGTGCCCAAGAGCTGTGTGGGGGCTGTTTTGCACGTTGGTTGACTCGGAATTCGGTCAGCTATCGGCCAGAGTGTCAGACGGGTGGAGTTCCAGAATTTGCAATTGAGCAAGATCTACAACTGGCGAAGCGCGATTGAGGGTTGGGAGACGGCCGCGGACAGCACAGCAACGTCCTTAGTACAGCTCGAGGCCGTTTGGACGGCGATTGACCCGTCGTTCGGCGGCCGTCGCTCAATTCGGCGAACAGGCGCAAGTGAGAATCTCAGAGTTTGACCACATCGGCGGCTTGCAAGCGGCGTCCAGTGGTGCGCGACGGTGGCAAACGGGCGGCCAGACTTCTGTGAGCAGCGGGGAGCCATTTGCAAGCTATTTCTGGCAACGGCAAGTGTGGGACGGCGGGTCGGCGCTGGCTCTACATTTTGCGGTGAGGTGGTGTTTCGGTGAGCAGTGGACTTTGGCGAACGATTGCACAACGGGCGGCCGACCAAGGAAGCTTGCAACATGGCGCAGAGCTCTGCGCGAGCCTCCCAAGACGTGGCTATGGCCGGCGCTTCGAGCGAGGGCAGTGCTGGGAGCCTGAGGGGGTCCAAAACGGCGGATGGTCACAGGGGGCAGAGCCGCAGTGGCTCGGAGTTCTCCCCCACTGATTGGGCTCATCAGTTACCAGAGGTCGGGCTACAGGAGGTGGAAGTACAGTTGCTGGAGCTGCACTTCGTACAAGGACACAGAAGATATGGATTCGGTGGCTCCTGAGCTGGTGAAAGCATGCAGGTGGACCCAAGGAACTCTGATTTATGAATTTATCATGATGGGACACCTGATTGCTTGGGGATTTTGATGGCACGATTGCTTATGAAGAAGATTTGAAGTGTCTTGGTTAGTACCATGATTATTGTGACGATGAATGCTTGTTGGTTTGCCACTTGTTTTGGTTTGACTTCATGGGAATGGGCACTGGAAATTGCATACTTTCATGGAATCTACCGTACCACAACACCGGAGCTCACCGCGGCTCTTAGTTCTTGGTGATGCTTATGGTAGGAATGGCTCACTCTGTGACGGTTTTCTATAGTGTGGTGCTGAGTTGATGGTTTTCCATCTAGCACATGCCATCCTGTTCTTCAAAACACCACCTTGCTAATAGTGACAAAACATGAATGTATTGAGATTTTACTCTATATGCTGAGAGATCATTTATTTGGTGGTTTTTTAGATTTCAATCCATGTGCTGATGTCTTTTTCCAGCCATGGAGAGAATCTATTTTAGTAAGCCTGAGGAACATGTTGGGGTGTTTCTTTCCCCAGCATGAGGTTGTGCTGGTGAGTTGCCCAGCCAGCCTATCCTTTCATGTTACCTTTATTTAGAAATGGGGTGCTAGCTCATTGGAGAGAAGGTCTACCAAGTCCATTGTGTGCGGCGGTGGGTATGGGCCCACTGTCGATTAGGTGTTAATAGGGGAGGTGCTAGGTGATAGCAGCAGGAGTGGTAATAAGGGGTGTTTAGTGACCGTGTTGTGCTGTGCCAAGGGATTGTAGGTGGTGCACTGACTATGGCAAATGGTTGATGTTGACTATTTATTGGGTCCTCTTGTTGGAGGAGACTACGGGCCCACCGGAATTCGGAGTGTCTCGTAGATGGAAACGTGGGAGAGCCCATGTTTGCAACACGGCATAATGACCACCGTTTTACTAGGTGGACCACTTATGCATTATGGTGTGCGCCTTGTATGCATGTCAAGAATATGGTTTATATACAAGACATTCTGAATCTATAAAAAGAAAAGAAAAATATGTTTTGGGATTCACATAATTATTGTGGTGATGAGTGGGCATTTTGAAGCGTTGTATGGCTGGTTGTTGATGGATGAAGTTTGTCATCATATGAAAAAAGGGTTTCATGGGTGCACAAGATTCGAATTGTTCAGTTGCCGGGGTCGTTGCCACCATCGGCAAGGCTCTTCGCTGTCGGAAGGGTGAACAACTATGTAAGCCTTGGGCGTGTTGTGTGTGGTGTGGCCTTGCGTCTGGCCGTGTACCAACGCCGTGAAAGCATCGGCGATCGTGGATTCGCGCTTCCCGTGTGCACTCCAAAGGGGGCCGTTTGAATCGCATCAACGGCCATTTCCTTCAAGAGCTCACAATCAGGCTTATTTTGCACAGATTCTCATTCGCGATTCTGGGATCCGTTTTGCTATCTGGCCACATGTGGCCAGTTCTCAATGATCGCCCCGCCTATTCTGGCTCCGTTTTCTACCAATCAATCCCAAGTTCACCCAACAAACATGTCGCTGCAAGTCAAACGTCTCATGCCACAGCAACTATCCCACAATTCCTCTGTGCCTCTACCGAGAACTACCCGCCCGCCAGCGTCCCCATGGTCTCTACCCATGCCCTCGCACCCGCGCTCCGCCCTGTATTGGACCTACCGGCACATCCCTGGGGTCCCGACTAGGCTTCTTCCACACCATATTTCCTCGGCCCACCACCTTGCCCGTCCATGAGGTGTTCTCAAGAGTGCCAGACAGCACAGCAAAGGAACCAACACCCGGCTGGCCATGACCACAAATATGGAACGTTTTCCTAGCTGGGCCATTCTTTTCGAAAGTCGTTCGCCTTGTACGTATGTATTGATGCTTTCACTCGCTCATTCTGTTAAACCCTCATTAATCCCATCTATTGCCAGCCACTTGGAGTGTGTGTGTTGATGACCAACCACCCGACGGCCGCCTTTCAATCCCCCCAATATCTAGTTTACTCCTTGATGCATGGCTGCTCAGCTGTCCTGCCCTAATAGTGCCTTCTTATGTGCCACTCTGGCCTGTCGTATACTAATTTGTTGCTACAGTACGCACGCTGTATAGCCTGTTCTTTCTAAGAGCTATTCCCTTGTCTGCGCCCTAGTCTATGCCCTTGTTTCTTCTCAAATACCTTCATATTCTTTTCAAGCACCGAGAACATGGAATAACCCCTCACTATGTGAGACAAGTGTAGGCTTCGCAACCCTACAAGGCTCACCCCCTACAAGCAAGCAAAGCTGAGCATATTTCATTTGCTTAGTACTTTCTGTAATCTGTTTCCCCTAATTCAGGGCTGGCACTCTACACAATGCAGGCTGAATCCATAACGGTGCTGTGTGCCTGTATGTGGCCTTCACAGACTTCCACGTCATCTGTCACAGTGTGGAACAGGTCTCACCATTGATTCGAGGAGGAAAGGTTGCCCATTGTATGCGGTATGTTCCTTTCATTACAACCGATCCCTACGTGGCATCCGCTGGGCCTCATAGGCCGAAAGACAAATAAATCGAGTAATCAATTCCGCGATCACAGCTCTTCCGTTAGGACGGCACGCCGCCTGAGCACAATGTGATGCAATTGTCTGGAATCCACTACATACATGCTGGTGTATGCAACCAATCTTTGGAAAACAATGGCGACCGGCGGACAACAATACCTTGGCACACATGCCAACTGGTCGCATTAAAACAAACCAATGGTTTGCTCAACAAAGAACGCAAATTGCTAAATTATGCAGCCATTAAATCACGAAAAGAATACAAACAATCAATCAAAACTGTGACAATGCCCTCGAGTGTGGATCCCCGTTTTCAGCACATGGCGCCAGCCCACGATGCGCATCTTTCCAAACAGCAGCACTCTTGTGGGCAGACGCGCTGCCAGTAAAAATACTTCACCCCGCGAATGTAGCAATTCTACAAACGTGCATCCTGTCCCTCCAGCACCTCCGCAGCAAGCCCCAAAGCGTCATCCCCGCCAAGACGATTTCGTTGGCGTCAAGCCCGGCTCTGCAGTCTACCACCAATTTCAATTCATGCCCTTACAGCACACATTGTGCCCCACGTGAGCCCATCCCATATCGCGTCAGTTACACAGAAGCACGGTGGGCACCATGCACGAGCCAGAAGAAAGGCGGTGCGGGCGCTGCACCACGATTCCCTGCACCAGCAACCGACGGCCACGGAGCCGGCATGGCCGCCAGCCCAGCCTGGAGCTGTTGCTTGAATCTTCAATTTGAAACTTACGCAGAATTGAACCGTTTTTGTCCCGAAGCGGCACTAGAGCAGGGTGTACGTCTGCTTTTCAGTCGCCGACAGCAGGAATGGATGGCAAGTCCACCCTGCAGCGCACAGCCTCTTCATGAAACTCCCCGCCCCCCGGCGGGCCCTGCGGCGACTCTCTTCCAGCATGGACGATATCTCCAAAGCCTCTACTTCCGCGTTTGGAGCACTGGCTGACATCGGATTGCGAGCACGGAGGAGCGCCCTCAAGTGGGTGGCCTGCAAGATTGCGGTGACTATGTCCCTCGATGTCGCTTCCTCGCTACAGCAAGGAACGCACAACAATCAACAACACAATTAGTCCTGCCGTTACTCCGAAGGCTGATGCAGGACTGACATATGGATTTGGTCCGCAATACAACACGCCATCAGACGGAGATCAATTGTCCGAACAACCCCAGATCTCCAACGGCACTTCTGATTGGACAGCAGCTTGTTCAGACTCTGAGTCACATCAGCTGTGTCACGAAGCATGCTCCGATTGAATGGCGTGCAGTTCGCCAGATGGTACTTCTGCTCACCAATTCAACAATGGAACCCCCTGAAGTGCAAAGCAAGTGCATATGCAAACAGTTCCTTCGGTCGATTCAAAATTGATCCTGGCTCTCCAAAAAAATTATCCCCTCATTCCTGAAATGCTAAATCTGTCTGAGGAAAGTGAGGTTCATAAAGTCTGCGAGCCTTCTGGCAGTAATTCTGCGACTCCTAATGTGTCTTGGCTCAGAAGTCGTCTTTCCATAAGTCACAGAGTCTCAGTCGCATGCCTAGCCCTGTTTAAACGGTACGAAATGCTGCAATTAATGAAAAATCGACTGCAGCCGGCAGCGGCCTGCAACGATGCAAAATGTCATAAGGCTGACACCATTCTCAGGGGGAGGTCCAACACACAAACTCTCCTTTCCTCCACACCTCCAGCAATACACACTGATCACATGCCCTTTTCTTTTCAGCTACAGTTTGCACACCGCACAATGGCTGTGTGTGGACCAATAGACAAACGGGTTACCACGGTCTGCAAAAAAAATGAAAACAGTTTGAACCAGTAGTTGGGATGAAAACAGACAAACAAGCAGTCTCCATGCATGATTGCTGCTATGGCCCCAATGCGCAAGGGATTCAAAGTAACCGGTGGGATTCAATGCAAACGAACCTGAGGCTCACAGCGATTGACTCACCCATCCTCCTGAAACCAACCCGCTGCTGGCGCTGGTAGCCCAGCATGTACCTGCCATGATGAGCACAGGTTGAGAGAGGACGAGCAAATTTTGGGGAGCAAAGGTTGTGGACGTTATTTTGCCCATCAGCACCCTGAAGGTTGACGGGAATTGCTTCCCAAATTTTGGACAAAGGGAGTCAAGCAATGACGCGAAAGTAATTTCAATTGGACAATGCAGGTCCCTATCATACTGCTGTTTTAACAGACGAACAAAATGATCAAATGCACCACCGACATTAATTAACAATTGAATAGTGGTGAACTGGTTGACAGCAATCATGCTCGGCTGGCCTTCACTCTCGGGGCGATTTTGTGTTTTGGAAGCACACTGCTGCAGCGCTGTGCACACGCCTTCAACAGGTGGACAACAAGGGCATTGCCCTCCACTTGTGCTGGATTGCTTCATACTGCTCAAGTTGCTGACGAGCCTGTCACACTGCTCACGATTTGCAAAGAGACAAAACGGACTGAAATGCGCAGCTTGCACCAAGTCAACACAGAAACTCACCTGTCATGGCGGTGGTGATTCATCAGGGCCTGCAGTTCGTGTGGAGATGCTGCCAGCTTGTCAGCAGGGCCGATAGAAAGTGGCAGAAAGCCGCCACCAATGTTGGGCTCTCCAAGCAGGCTCTCCAGACGGCTGATCTCCTTGGGGGACCTCAGGCCGCCAGTGCGCACCCAATGGTCGGCGATCATTTGCACACGCTCGCAGTTCAGGGAGCGCAGCTCCACAGCCTTGAGCTCACGGTAGGTGGCGTACAGATCGACTGCCGTTCCAACTGGGTACACTGCCTGCATGGCAGCTCATCCTGTCAGTCGTCGCTGATGTCAAGATCCTAAAAGCACAGCAAGACTCCACTGAATGAACCCATGTTGATATTTGGTACATGGTTGAGATGGCGCTCAGCAAAAGATTTGAATCCACATCGAAAGACATGCAGAAAGGGATGTCCCCCCTGGTTCTTGTGCCATATGTGTGGTGTGCTGATTCAGCGACTTATGAAGAATGTCTATCGTTGCAACTCTGATCGATGCACTGTGGTGGTGCCAGGCAATCAACAGTTCACCACCCCCTGTACTACACTCAATGCAAGCAATGGTGTCCTAAAAGCACGGGCGGCCTCCCTAGCAAAAAAATCCAGAACAAACACTGCAAACTGCAGATTGCTGCACGTCCGAGACTCGGAGTGTGTGAAGCTATGAACAGCACATCTTTGCAATAGGCTGAACAGAACACATCAATTGAGGTAATTAAGGCAATCCCTGCGGTGCGCTTATGGACAGCCAGTGGGCACCATTTTCTCAAGCGTGCCAAGTGTCCAGCCATGATTGCAAAAGTTCTGTTGACTGGCTACAGATTGTCTGCAGCACACCCCACATAGATATCCTGGACGTTGTGAGGCAAAGAAAAGAGGCGCTGCAAAGGTGGTGCAGCAGCAACTCTTGCTGCTGTATCGGAGAAACGCCAACCCCTTGTTGATCTGGGAATTCACTACCACACATGGCCAAATGGTTGGCAGCGTTGGGTACTGGATGGGAGATGCACCAGTGGTACAACCCACATTGGTTGCATATATCAAAACGATAAATCGCTGACAAAAACTGACTAAAAACAATGCTGTTATCGCATCCACCAAATCCACTCAGGACATACCAGCGGCAAGAATTTGGTCACACTGATTGAGTTCCTGGACAAGTGTATCATACTGGCAGCAACTGCAAGTGCCAGGGTGTCCACCACCATGTGTTGTGCCTGCTTGTTCATAAGACACAAAGGTGCATGTCACCGCCAGATGAACTTGCAGGCCAATGCAGTGTCAACATATTCAGTGTAATGCAAATGAAAGCAATGCAGAAACCAACAATTTGCAAGCAATGGAAGCATGAGCACGAGGAAGACAGTCATATATCAGGTCGCGCTCAGATGGATGGTGAGAGAATCTGACAAGAATTATGTTGTCTAACACAGTGCACCTTTCAGCAAAGCCTTGTGCCCAGCCGCCATCACACCCTGTGAAGGGACCACAAGCAGTTTCTGACAAGAAAGCACCCTCTGATCCTGGGATGGACATCGGCTAGACATTGGACAGTATTATTGGGTCAGTGACAATATGGGAGGGCACTGGCGTGCCTCCAGATAAATTCCGCCACCTGTGCTGCTGACACAATGCAATTCATGTCCACACTGGTAGTACTTCAATCAGTTCACTGAGGTCAAGAAAATGGCCAGTACGGACCAGGTCTTGTGCTTCTGAACAGTGCCCAGCAGCAGGAAATATGCGAAGAGCGCTCATCTGTCCTGTTGCGGTATATAAATTTGATAGGAATACACCCAGTATGCAGCTCAAAGCATCCGGCAGGGGTGTGAGTCATCTTTCAACTTTTGCCTTGTTTCCAATTTCTGCACGATCGCTCAAGTCCAGTGCAAATTCAGATTAGTGACGAGTAGCGATGGGGCCCAACGATCATCAGGTCATGAGTGCATGTGCATCAACATGTGGTTGCACATTTGGTGAACACAGTAGTATTGTTACTTGTAACTGCAGTACAACGACTGCCTGGGCAACGAATGAAGACTGACTGGCCATGCCTGAGTCTTTGCGGTGATGTCTGCCAAGTTGCTCTCCAGACACAGGCTGGAGGCCAGGGCTGGAGATGTTGAGACGTGGGTGGTCAGTGATACGGCCTTGCCCACATTGGCTATGCTGGCCAGTAGCAGGAAGTGTCGTCTCAGGAAGGGCGTGAGAACCTCACACAGCATGCATGCCGAGAATAGGATCGCTGTGCTGAAGCGCATGCGCTGCAGGTCCCAGACTATTCAGTCAGTGAACAGCGCTGTACCAGTAGTACAACAGCGTTAATACAGGATAACCATTGAACAAATTGTTTACAAAACCATGGTGATTATCGAGACTATGGCAACCCATCTCAGTTTGAAATAGGGGCATGTCTTCCCAGGTCTCCTTCCAAGCTTCGACAAAAACTGTTTGTGTTCAGATTAATGCAATATTACATCAATCTTTGCCATTTAGAAACAACAGAATCCTCTTCACGCTGAGGCTGGAGTCGAACATGTTGCTGCAATGCCATATCCAAACATTCAAAAGTACAACAATGGATAAAGATAGTATCAAATAGCCCAGCCACAGTAATAACAACAGAAACAGAATACAAACAAACCATCAGAAATGACTGTCAGTGCAGTGAAGGAACTGAGTTGGATGACAGAAGGTACACCACGCAAATTGGGAGACTAGCATGCCTCTGTATTGCAACAGTCACAAATCAAGGTTGCTTGTGCTGCAGCTGCCCCACTTTCAAGTTGGAGTCAAACACGTCTCCGTAGCGAGTTGCGACTGTCATCCTTGCCACACGCCCGAGGCCATCCTTGAGCATCCAGTTAATGGCAGCAGACGCGGTGAGGGCATCCCTACCACCAACACCCACTGCCACGAGCAGCGACTATGCACACAGCCAAGTGGGGATGTCAAGTTGCACTCTTTACACTATGAGACATCTCTGTGACTATCTAAGCTGCCCAAAACAATTCATTAATAGCATTCTGACACTTGTTGGACTGCAAACACATCAAACTGGAGAGAAGACCGGAAGGGCGGGGCTCATTGCAAGTTAGCAAGCTGCACTGGGACTATATGCAAGTGCTCCCAAGTGTTCTGCTGAAGCATCAAGATCTTGAGTAGTCTGTTGTTTTGGATTAGTGGCAAACAAGCTGGGAGCCTGTGGCAGTCAGCACACATCTTGCACCACTAATGACTGCACCACATGGACATGTTCACACTTTCTACAAGAAATCAGGATAATCGCATTTTTGCAAATGCGGCAAGCGCCACAAGTACTTGCCACATTTTTAAACCAGGGTTTTCAAATGGTTTGCTGATCTGTATTGAGCCATTGGTCACAACCCAGATTTCCCACACTTTGTGGGTCCTTTTCTGTGAGCTTATGCATCTGCTGCATCCGACCAATCGCTTGACTTTTCTTTAGAATTTTGGGAGCAGCATACGCTGGCAACCTGGAAAATTTGAGCTTTGAGAACTCACATTTGCATCTTCTGAAGCATCGCAGATTTCTTGCACAGGATAAAAATAGAATGGCATCTAGTGCTGAACGTCTGTGAAGAAAAAAGTAAACAACCAATGCCATTATAATTCTAAGCAATGCATAGAATACCAAGCATTGGACAACAGCATATGTGTCTGTACCCTGCTGGCGGTGACGCAACAGTTCACATTGTCAATATACACACCTGAGTCCCAAAGAGCCTCACAAGGGAGCCAAAGAAACGCTGTTGGGAGGGGCACATAAAAGCAATCAGTCTTCCCTGGATGCAGCACGATCAAAGTAAAAGATCTTCCAAGAAAAACATGCTCTCAGCAACAATAGTCAACACAGGTAGTAGCAAAGCAAAGAATGAAAACATACAGCAAAGGCCAGAGTTGCGAATGTGCTGGTGCATTCGCATGTGGAGCAAATTTGGCTTCAAGGCAACTTTCTTACTCCACAGCACTATTGCAACACAACAGCCAAGAGTGCAGTGCACAGTATTCCCTCAGGTCCCCAACTCACATGTGTGCACCTCCAACGGACAAAGTCCCAATAGTCGGGCGTCACAGACTTTCGCGATGGAAAGAAGCCTGACCACAGCCTGTCCCTCAGGCCACCCAGCGATCTGCCCAGCAGACCTGCAGTCCACATCAGGGCAACTCACACACATCAACGCCTATCTACTTGTCCACATTTCCTGGATAACCACACACGTATCACGCAGTGAACTTGCTGTTGTTGCATTTACCATTGATGAAATGCTGGCCCAGCAGACCCAAGGCAACAAAGAAAGTTTTCACAATTTCCTAAAGTTGCGCCTGTTGTTCATCAGCCCCTAGTGAACTGAGTTGTTTTCTGATTGCTTCACACTGTGAACAGTACAAAACATTCCCCAAGCTGTTGTCATCATGTCCCACAGAGGTGCCATGATCTTCATTATGACAACCAACGCTACATGGGGCAAAATTCGTGTTCCTTACAAGACCACAGGTTGAACAAGGGCCACACCCCTCTGAACCATAATTCGGCAATGTTATTTTCCATCCAGTAGGCGATGCTGCAGAAATTTGAGCCAATCAGGAATATCAAGCCTTACAATGCAGCCAAAAACTATGCACATGAGGAGGGATGCTGCCCAACACAGGAAGAACAAAACACAAGGGTCCATGACGCAAGACGCTGTCCAACTGAAAAGGTTAGCATAGGGCAGAAACAGTGCTGAGAGCGATTACAAAACTTGAATGTTGAATCCGCAAGTCATGACCCACCTCCTGGTGTGTTGTTGTGTCCATCCTTGTCAGGATGAACGGCTTTAATTATTGTGCCATCCCAGACATACTGTAGTTTCTGTTTGCCTGCAATCAGAGCAACTGGCTTCATTCACAGCATGTTGTCAGGTGAAAGTAGTTATTTGCTGAGTTGATTCATTTCCTGCATGATCTTTGGAAGCATCTTTTGCTGATATGGCTACAATATGTGGTCCAATCGCTTACAAGGCACTGAAGCCAATCTGGGCTCAGGAATAGTGCTGTTGATACACATCAGGGAGATTATCACCACAGAGTTCCTAAGTCCTGGTTTGAATGGTCTGGAGACTGGGAAACCCTGCCTCTGCAAACCAACGAATTGAACAAGTCCAGCAACAACAGCCAAAAACGGACAGAAAGACAAGACTACACCAGTGGCACAGAATCCTGCCTCATTCGTTAAGGTGATTCTGTCAATCTGCCAAGGCTGCATGCAAGAAGAAGGCAAATAAGTGGCAAAAGCAAGCAGCACAACAACAGGAAAGAACTGATATGCCTTGTAGCATGCAACCTTCCATACCCACAAGTCATGGCATCGACACGTACCTCGTTTGATGCCGATCGGCAGGGCCTGGAGTGCCTTTTCTGTTTTTTTTCTTCTTTTTCCAGCCCTGGAACTTTCCTACTCAGAGGGCACACAAGAACGTCAACCCAATTGACTACTGATCCCCAGACACAGGACAGGATCTGAACAACACAATGTATTGTGAAAACGAGCCACTTGGAACCTCCAGGACCGGAATTGATAAAATACATCTACAGTCTCCAAACCTTGCAGAATTCCAATGGATTGCCTTGCCTACAAAGGTACTTTGAAGGCAACCATGGTCACACACAAATTCATGTTGGTTCATGCTGCATTTGTTCAATTCTTCATATTACCCTCATTTACATCAAGCACAAATGGTAGCCTGAGAAAGAAAAAGTTAACAGCCAAACAGTCAGGAATGAGCGCACAGTCTCCATTATCCTATCAGTGCTTCATCGTCCCAACGCATGACTGATCTGGGGAAGGAACCCAGTGATCTTGATTGACAGTAAAGAAGCCATAAGGCATTTCCAGACAAGCGTGGACATGCCATGCACGGCTGAATTCCTTTGCGACTGCGCCCACCTTGTCTAGGTGACAAAAAGAAGCACAAAAACATGCCTTGGGCAGTGGCGCGCACCATACAGAATACCACCATTATAGAAAATCTTCCTTTCTGCTCCCCCCACGGCGTTGACCCATTCAGTCCTCGCCCAAATTCACACATGCTGAAGCAATCCTGTCCATTTCCATGTATTCTGCTCTGGTGATGGAGGATTGTGTCTCGTCCTTGGCCGAAATCGGCTGGTGCAATAAGAAACGGATGATAGACGTGGCCACTGCATTGCGCAGTAACAGGAATGATATGCTAGCCATCGAATTGCGCCTAGGCTAAGTTTGCCGAGGTACGACAAAGCAACGCCCTAGCAGATTCGAGGTGATGCAGTGCATCCCAAGTTCTTGCTACCAATCCATCAAAAACAAGCGATCAGCCCACCACCGTTGGCACGCATTTGCAGACGGTGACGATCAATGAAAAGATCAAATAATTGAACGGAGAAAAGCAGACGCTCAGCACGTGCATCTGCACGTCAACGCCTGCAAGGTGCAAGGGCTCCGCATCGACTCGTGTAGGCCAATGCCAAAAGAGGATTCAGCGATCAACCGAAACATTTGGCAGCATTGTGCGCAAGGGCGGTGCATCGGACAATCGATCCGCGAGGCCTGCGCCAAGAGATCGTTCCACGACGCCTTGGTCTTGTTCAAAGGACAGCATCGAAGCGAGGGACCACACAGCGGGGCCAGGGGAAAACAACGCACCTGCCAGGCATCGTTGCCGCTCCAGCCTCCCAGCAGGGACGCGGGGACAAGCCAGCGGTGTGTCTGACCACTGCGCCCCTCCGCCCCAGTATCCGTCTTATTTTCGCCGGTTCCTGGCCGCGGCCGGCGACCCATGCTCGCCCCGGCGCCGGGGGCTGTCTGGGTGTTGCCGGCGGCACTTGCCGGTGCCAAGAATTTACACTCACCACCATTTCATTTAACCCCCAATCGTCCCGTCCTGGAGGCACGGCTGCTGGGTTTGGGATTTAGGTCAGGATTAGCTTCGCTTGTTTCTGTTTGTTTTAGCTTTTAGGCTTTTGGGATTTAGATGTACTATTGTTAACCACCGAATAGTGTGCGTGGGTCGGCAAAAGATTGAGCGAGTGATTGGAGGGCGCAGTTCCAACATCTGGGCAAGAGCCCCGGAATGTTGTGCTTGCAAGGTGAAACACAACCTAATGCCCAACTTCAACCTGACAAGGAAATTTTCCAGTGAGAATGGATGGGGAATTGCTAGGCTAAGGTCCGTAGCCTGAATTGCTTCTGAAGCAATCTGAAGGTAGTTGTCATATTTAGTAATCAAACCTTTCTCACCATTTTTGTCCAAAACAACACGGGAACTGTGATGTGATTTTGGAAGCTAACAAAGTACAACCTGCCATTCCTAACCAGCCAAGATCAAGAACGAAATACACGCGGAAAATCAGGAAGCACCGCAATTGACGTTAATATTGACGTATCCAGAACACACATTTGAGACAAGAAACGCACTCCTCAAACACGGTTGCTCCCAGGCATGGAAAGCAATGCTGTAACAAGATTAAAAGAGGAATTTACCAGCTTAATTTATCCCCCTCCCCCTCCCCCTCCCCCTCCCCCTCCCAGTGAGCTTACTTAGCTCACGTCTGTTTCAACGTGCATGACACCATGTTCGCTATACTCATCCACAATGCCTTGTAACATTGCACACCTCAGTCAGTACTTTTCAAGTGACCGCACAATTCCTCATTTATTTCTTCGCCTTCGCACATTATGGGCTGTGTCAGGAACAAAATCTTATTCCTTGCCTCACCCTGAGTTCCCTTGCAGATGTCTTAGGATGTGGCAACTCAGAGATGGTACCAGGCCACCTTCTGGGCAGACGAGAAGCTGAGTTGTCCGTTGTCAAAGGCGCAATCAAGTATCCGATTAATTCATCAGGAACTGCTTTTGAGGGAAAATACGTGCTGAGGAAGTTCTTGCGGCAATTTGTTGAGAAATATTCCTGAACAATAGCCAATCTTGTTATCGCATTGTAGAGCATATACTTGCGGTTTACGACAGTCAGGTGGAAACCATTCTCAATGTGTGGTGCTGGGCAGAAGCACACATAATACAGGGTGTGCAGCGAGGTTGGTGCTTCAAAATGGCCACTGAAATGGACCTTGGTTTTGCAGAAAAGCACTGAAAATCAGCGAGGGCAACGTCCCAACCTTACTCAGCGTCCTCGGTTCGTATTCGCAGCAGCAACATACGCTATTGCTGTCGGGCATTGTCGCAAGGCCAGGGATGCCACTAGAAGTTTGTCTGCCCAGGGAAATAGAAAAACACTATGGGTTGCAACGGTCCAATGCCGGAGGCTTTGCATGGTGCACATTTGCGTATAGTGCAGCAACCCCAGGTGCTATACCACATGCAACCAAAGCTACTGCAGATCATGGAGGATAGTGTGTGGCAGAGGGTGGAAGGACGGGTGGGGGGTGGGCCAGGGTGCGCGGGGGCGCCGGGGTGGGTGGGTGGTGGGGAGGCTCAGCTTGGTGATGACGATGATAATGATAATGATTGAGAAGAAACTGAACACGCCCGCACACGGTCGTTCCCAGGGATGGGAAGCAAAGCCGTAACTGGAATGTTACAGGACAAGCGCACCTCTCAAATATACTTGCTGATATGTCCTCAAATTAGTAATCACCGTACCTCCATATTATGTCGCCATGTCTCTGCGTCCAGCCACACCACAACTAACACCCTTCTCGTTATCATCACATTCTCAATTTTCCTGTCTTCGCAATCACGATGATGGTGATGAAACTCCAGTGGCGATCCTTGGTGATGTACAGCATCGTCACGGTGGCTCCATATAAGAGGCGCTTGAGCTGAAAAATGCACTTGCTTGACAACCGAGGAGCCTTGCTCCAGTGCCAGTGCCATGTGCGAAATTCTAGGCAAAAGTTCCTCTTCCAAAACGTAGGTGCTAGGAATGCAGGCGAGTCAATGTATGACCGACCACCCCGGCAGACGTGCAATGGCCACGGGGTTGGGCGCCGACGCCCATTTGCTTGGTTCTCTGCTCGCCCACCACAGAAGCCGTCTCGCAAGCCCACCGACTTCGCAGCCGGATCAGGGTGCAGAATTTCGCAAATACAGCGCCTGTTCCTGGTGTAAGCAAAGGACACTAGGAAAAAAAGGGCAAAATAACACGTGTTCAAACGTGTACAAAGTTTACGGGTTTGTGTTATTTCTGGGTTCTTAGCGTGTAGAAATTTGATGAAATGTGTTTTATGTGTGTTCACAAAAGTGCTATTTGGCTGTTTTTTCCCTAGTGGGAGTCACCTGTTGTTGATGTGATGTCCCCGCATGTCGGGCAGCAGGCATTGCCAATCCAGCCAGCAACGAGAGGGGCGGCAGACGGCCAGATTCGACTGGGCTCATAACACTAGTCAGAGAACATCCCACTGCAGTGTTTCCTTAAACCGAATCTTTGTGGTTCAGCGGGATCTCCACAAATCGCGCCCAGCCCTGATAGATCCTTGTCTTGTGGCTTGCCACATTTTCACCAGTGCATTGTGCAGCTGCAGTATGCAGCGGGGCCCCGAATAAGTACATGAAAACCTTCAACGCACCCGGTGGAGGTGTGTTGTCGGCCTGCAACATAAGGTGCTCGTTAATCAAATTTGAAAATTGTTTCGATCGTTATTGGGTGTGGTGTGGTGGGGTGGAGGAAGGGGCAGCTGGAGGGGGCATGGGGTTGTGGGGGAATAATTGATAAATATCAGTAGTATGATTAATAGGTGGGTTAATTGGCAGGTGAAAAGATGACCTAGCGAAAGTTATTTGATGCTTCAGAAGTACTACTTCTACACATTCGCAAAGTAGTACTTTGCAAATGTGTTGAACAGTACCAGGCTTGGTTTTTACGCCGTAAAAACTGATCGTATTTACGTTTTTACGCGTAAAAATAGTTTTTGCGTTTTTACGCGTAAAAATGCGTAAAAATACGTAAATACAACGTAAAAGCTGCCTGGTGTACATAAGGACAGTACATATAGATTTACAGAGTCCGGAGAGTGGCAGCCAGACGCCTTGGAAGAGGCAGAAAACGAGTTTTTGCTAAACGCCATTATCGCCCTTGCCACAGGCGAGGTGGACATTGTGCTCCGGGTGATGGAGATGGCAGAGGACTGATCATTGTATGCAACTTTCATCGTGTAAACTACGTGTGCCAGGAGCCGTAAAAACGTAAAAATAGCCGTAAAAATAGGCCCTTTTGCAAATTCACGTTTTTACGCGTAAAAACGTAAAAGTAAAAACGTAAAAGTAAAAACGTAAACGTAAACGTAAAAACCAAGCCTGAACAGTACCATTGATGAGCGTGGACAAATTTTCGTGCCATAACTCCAAATGCCCACACTCCTACACATACCCAAGCAACATAACTGCAATACACTTAATAGCGATGCAGCGTTTCGGTGAGCGCTCTGCGCTTTTGTCAAAGCTGCCCCAGGCTCGCTATAAAAGTTGAATATTTTTGCAAATCTAACGTACATACACATGGGCGATTTTAATTCCCAAGAATTGCAGCAATCAAAGTTTGAACGACTCCTCGAGTAATACACAGTGTGCCCGCGCGGCATGCATGCCATATGGTGAGATTGGTGGGTTGCTGCTGCTGGCTTAAGGCCGCAAGGCAAGGTGCGCCACACGCTCTGGGCAGCACAAGATTTGCCATCGGTTAGTGGATTGGAAGATGGGACCCTGAGGTGCACATCGGCGATGATTCACTGGAAATCATGGCCAACAACTTCTTTTGGTGATCGACGCAGATCTGTGCTTTAGGTCGGCTTTCCTCCCCACGTGCACGGGGGCTCCCAACTTGATGACAGCCACAGGTGAGAAGATTGAGTGCGTGCATGAGGAATGAGTTAAGGTGGGTGGCGAAGAGAATAAGCAAGATTGCTTCCAGTATCACGTCAATTGTGAGTCACAATTTGCGACAGCATGTCTGCATCGTTTGTGGATCAGATTTCAATGGCTGTGGTTCACTGGCTTTGTGAGGTCTGGCCAAATGTTGTTCAAACGAAAATATGCAAGTATATTCATACACGGCTTCCTCACCAATGACGCAGCCGTGGCAAACAGGCAACGGTAGGCTGCAATGGGGTCAAGGATGCCTGGCGGCACGCACTCCCAATCACAGCTTGGGTTGCGGGCCGTCTATCGCTTGATCGATTTGGTGCATTATAGGAAGGCGTGATGTGAACAAACCAGCATGCTTCTGGCGCCACAGCTGTTCATTGCTGCCATAACTTTCGTTGCACAGTATTCAGCAGCCTTGCGGCGATGATTTCCATTCGAGTGCAATGCAACGTCGTTGGGGGGCTGCTTAGGGACATCGATACAAGGACTGACGCTCAGCAGGGATGTGATGATGTATCTAGCACCCGTTCGCCCTCAAGCCTGCCCAGATTGAGAAAAAGCCTTCCCTGCAGGAGTTTTCCCGCGACTGTCTGCCGGAACGCTTTCAGTGTGCGTGAAGCGCGGCGATTGCGTATTGAGTCCAGTGTGCGCCTGAATCCGATCTTCAAGTCAACCAAGCTCGCGTTGCTCTCCAGGAGCGACGCCGAACGAAAACGGTATCAACGACACGGGATGGAGGGGAAGAAACCTCAGGAAACAGCGCAAGCTTTTGGAGCTGCTGATGTAGTGGAGATGCTGCTGCGATTGGCGTGAGCCCCTGTCAGAAGTTTTTGGCTTAGCGGACTGCGGACCCAATACCCGTTCTTATCTGTCGATCCGCTGATTTTCCGCAGTTGTGATAAAATTTGTTTCAGTACCGAATTGACACCATAACATTTGAAGTATTAAGTTCTTTGAAGTTACACTGTGGAACTCGACATTTTCTGTGGCTTTTCGCGGCTGCCAGAACATCCAAGTGAAAATCCAAGTGGTCAGCCAGCAGCATTCTTTGCTTTTCTTGAATTCCCAGATCCCGGAGCTGTTCCGCATTCGCATCTCGGACCATCTGCTCCTCCTTATCTTCTGGCCCCATTTTTCAGCTTCCATTCAACAAATGTTCCCCTGCCTCCAGAATTCTTGGCTGTTTCTGTTCTTGCAGCCTACCCGCACAGCAGCCCCTATTTGAGTCACCCCGCCATCAGATCCTAGAAAATGGACTTAGGAGCGCACATTATGGCCACCACTATATCATCCGCCAACTCCAACTCTGACAACATAATGCTCATCGCCGTAGTACATAATCTGAAGGCGTGAGCAACGGGTGTAAAACACAGTGGGAGATGTGCAGCTACGACTTATAGCCGGTATTGAGCTGTTATTGGATGCTCCCTTACTATATTGATGTGTTGATACATTATGCCGCCCTGAAGCAAAAGACAACTATCCGGTGGTAAATTCAGATTGCACTCTACATCTACTTCCACTTTAATAACATCATAGGCAAAACAATATCATATGACTTGGTGGTGAAACCCAATGCCTGTGTGCACTGCATCAATGCGTACAGCGGAATAAATACCTTGTATCACTGACGCTATAAGTACAATCAGTACTAATAGCACCAATGGCAATAATAGTACAACTAGGGGTATATATACCACTATTGCTAGTGCACTTGGCATTTAAACTAGCACCAAGTACTATCAGTATTCCACTTCGCTGGCACCACCCAGAAGGAATTTCGGGGCTCCCAAAAGCGCACCACACGCTGTAGACACGACTCCAGTTCATGTTCTCCCGTAGAAGCCCCACCGCCCTGTCAACCGACAGCACGGTGGCCTCCTTGCCCCTCCCCAGGCCCAGGAGCCCTTCCAGGTCCTGCCGCACGCATGGTGGGCTCCTCTTCATGACGCCCGGCAGAATCTGGTGGAACAGCAGCAAGGCCTGCCATCCGCATGCGTTACAGTGTATCGTGTCGCGGTGATGCGAAAATGCTCGCGATTATTGAGCTGACGACCACCAGAACAGTAAATAAATGATATCACTCAGCCGGCGACCCGTGAGTTTCAGATGTGTTGCAGAGGGGGTGTTATCACCCTCAGCACTTTCGCCACACTGATCACCATCCAGCAGGTTCGCGCTCAATGACGCGGGACACCCCCAAGTCATCAGTCAGGCGTGCTACATAATTTTCTGGTATTGCGAGCTCAAGGTTCTCAAAACGCAGGGAGATGTCTTGGATGACAAAGATATTCTACGAAAGCCTTATCATACGCCCAAAGAGTCCATTAAGATACGATAAAGATGCTGAGAACAACGCCAATACGTGGCAGCGCATTACACGGGGACACATGAGACAAACGCGTCCGGAAAACTCCTTGGAGTACTGAGGGCCACCCATGTCTCCACTGGGCGCGTGCGTTTGCTTAGGGCTGCCGGCCTGGCCGTCTGCCATGGACCTCGGTGAGGCGGAGCCAGGAGGGGCGCGTGGAGGCGCCACCGGTTTTTTGACGAGAATGTGACCCGTGGGGCACTACGTGGTTGCTTACCGCAGGAAATGTGATTGTTTGATGAGAATATGGCCCTTGGGGCATTACGTGGTGGCTGACCGCAGGCAGTGGCGCGCCCGGGATTGAGTTGAGGTGAAACAGCGGGTGTGGCAGAAAGATTCCCGGTATCAAAAGACCATCTCTGGGGAATGGGGGGTAGTTCCCAGAGCTTGTGGGTTTGCAAGTACCGGGGGCGTGGAGGATGCTGTGGGGGACTCTGTATTGTTGCACTCGGCCTGGCAGCTGTAAGAGCGATTGCGTGGCATTTGAGTTTGGCCCCCGTGGCGGTCTAGGCACTCAGACTGGCTGCCTGGCTCTTCTGGCTGTGTGCGCAACGTTCGCCACGGCCTGAGCGCGATAGCGCTCAACCTTTTCGAAGGTCGAGGCCAGTCTGTGCCATTTCTGAGCTGCTTTCCTTGGCATGCAAGACCAGTACTGCCAGTGCGGTCGTCCTGCAGGCCGAAAGCAACCAACCTTGGTCACTGCACAGCTTCGCCGAGGCGGAAAGAAGCATCTTTATTGTATTGTATCGCCGTGGACAAGGCTGCCCCGAACCGTGGGGCTGACCCCTGCCCTGACGTCGTTGACCTTTGGGGAGTGGCTGCGACAGTTTTTTGGGCTCTGGGGGGTTGGTTGTGTGAGGTTCTAAGAGAGCGCTTGCATTCCTGACGGTCAATTGGACGCCTGCCACTCGTATGAAGATTCCCTTGCCGTCGTTGCTATTTTTTGGTCGTTGACATTGTCGCGACAAGCAATTCTTCGTGAGGAGCCAGTTCTCCGAGCTGCAAAGCTTGTTCGTTCGGTGCACCCTCAACTGACGAGGTGCTGAGGCAGCCGACGTGGCTCAGCTGCCCGTTCAGTGGGGGTTTGACTGCGCTATCTCCGAGGATGACGGCCAGAATTGACCGCAGCCCTTTTCACAAACGCTATTAGGTATTGGCATTTTGCATCGTCAGTGCAGAGCTTCAGAAAACTGACGTGACGTGAGCCCCGAATTTCAGTGTTTCTGTCAACTATTTTCTAAAAGTGGTCCAGATGGTTGAGAAGCCGGATGGATTGCTGCTAGCTTGTCCAATACCATTTTGAAATTGCATAATTCTGAAGCGGTGTAGCTGCCATAAATTGAACATTGTTTGCCCAGCAAGCAACTCTTCTATGTTGCTATGCGTAGGAGGCTTATAATGCAATGTTTGTAGTCCAAATTTTGAATTTCAAGCAATATTCTAAATCTAAACTCCAAACTTCAGATGTCTCATACCTAGATTTAATTGGGATTTCCGAAGCCAGCTTCGCCTTGCAAGACTGCTCTATTCTTGCGAAGCCTCCCTTGAAAGGAGGGATGGAATGAGGTAACCAAATTGCCCCGTTCCATAAAACGGAACGAGGCATCTGCTAGTCTCCAAGCCATCAGATCAGTCAGTAACTCGACACGAACGCTAGGAACTTATAATGAAGCAATAGAAAGTCGCCCACCTCGCTCGCCAGCCCCTCAGCGGTTTCGGATTTTCTCACCCGTCCCCGCCATTGGTGCCACACCGAGAAGCTCTTCCCGCCCAGTACCTCACACGGCAGGTCGCTCTCCAACCGCACCAGGCGCTCCGCCACGATTTCCAAGGACGCCTGCCTCACGTGGCCCTCGGGGCAATCCTGGGGATCGGCGGCATATTGCAGGGCCTGTTTCACAGCGCGTCTGAACAGAGGCGTCTGTGGTTCAGTCAGGCCTGGCACATTTCCGTTAACCATTATTATTTTCAAATCCTGGTAATTTGGCAATACCTCGGAATTGTTTCTTCACAGGCTTTGATTGCTGCTGTATTGCTTTCAATTTGGTTTTAAAAGGTTATCTACTGCTGTGAAGAGAGGATTTAAGTGTGCATTTTTCTGCGTTTCATATGTTCTTTCAAAGCAAAATATAGCTGATTGCAATGAAGGGCCGCAATTCCATTGGGATTGGATTCCTCACAACATTTACCGCGACCGAATGAAATGAGAGTTGGCACGGGCACTTGATGAGCAAGAGCATTTGCACTGGACCCATCTGAATGCGCATCCTAAAGTTGGGAGATCAGCTGCTTTATGTTTGGCAGATGCCTTTTCTTGTTTGCGGGACCCTAAAATTGTGGATTTTAACGCACACCATTGATACAATGAAAGCGGCGCACAAAGCCAAAATCGCAATATATAAAATGAAAACAAAATAACGGTGATTGTGCGAATATTTCCAACCGCAGCTGAGGGTGCGTCGGCAGTGCCACTATACGCTATTTTGGAATAACCAATACGTACTACAATCATGACAAAAACACACTACAACATCACAACAATACATACTGAAATCATTGCAGTACAATCGCAACAACATTTCACATATAATGGGCGATCGTAGGGGCGATGAGACATTGGGCCTATTGTAAATTGCACTCAGACGAGCGCGGTCTCGCCTGTATAGAGTGTCTCTCTCCGAGGCCCCTTCTCTGCGAAGAGCGGTCTGGTAGAGGGAGGCCGCTAGGTTGGTGTCGAATGGCAGCAGGCTGTTGCACTGGACCCAGCCCAGGGACCTGGAGCCAAACACGAGGACCGGCACGACGGAGGGGTCGGTATCCTGGGGTCAGCAGAGGGTGCTGTGAGGCTGCGCATGCAAAGAATAAATACAGGAGTAAGATTGATAGAAACATGGATGTGCGATTATAAACAGAGTAAGGCAGAAAATAGTGATCATTCTCATGCGCTGGGCCGACCGGGTATCTGCAAATTCCGGTACGGTAAATTTTGATATCTTGCAATGGGAATCGTGGTTAACACCAGATTTTCGCCACTGGGGTGGGTTCAAATGTGGTTGCGCTTCTTGCGGGGAATGGGTATGCGGTCGGCAGGATTTGTCACAGGCACCCGCCTTCATCTCCATGGGAAATCCCATCCGCCCGGCCTCTGCGTTCCTGCCGCCCTCTGCGATGCATTCGGGGAGTTCGCCCGCTGATGCAATCACCACTGGCCACAAGTAGTGGAACCTGTGCGGGTCCCTGCATGACGCCACAATCTGTGAGCCTTTGAATATCATGATGCAAATTACCAGCCATTGATAGCCTGTATTAAGACATTCTAGTATTCCAATCTTACGTTATTGTTGTAATAATCACATCTCAACTTGAACGCCCCACTGAGCAGTTTTCTACCAGCCTTGTTCATTCACCAGGCAGGCAGCGTCCACTTTTCCATTCGATATGTTATTGGACCGTTCCTGTCGCCGCTTCACGAGGCACGGCATTTGCGACGCCTGGTGCATTGCGATGCATTCACTAACCGTGGGGATGAACGTTCGGATTCGCTTTCGGATTTTGCATTCACAGATTCTTCGTCCCAGGTGGAATTTATGCCCATATGCGGAGGAGCACACATCGAAAGCGCATGATTCATTACGGGCATACGATCACTCTAAACCCACCCCCCCGAAAATGGACGCCAAAAACAGAAAAAAACAGTGAAGAAATCCACATTCTCAATTGGGAAATTGCATTGCGCCATCGTAACCTCATCCTTGCACCGCATCCTTGCCGCAAGTGCAATCTTCGACGAACTGACGATACACTGACGCTCCCCGTGACTTGGGGCCGTGCGTTTCGCTCACGGGGCATGCATCCCCCCATCAATCACTATCAAAACACAGCGTATTTGCGATGCCATCTGCGATGCAAATCTGATACAAAGTAGTCCCATAACTGCGATTGCGATGGCAAAAAAGCGGGTGTGCTGGCATCAATTAGTGCCAAGTTAAATCGCAGTTGGCATCGAAAAAAAACTCGTTCTCTACTTGTGAGCTCATTCAGTTCTCCAGATGCGATCCCACCTGGACAGCATCAGCTTGCCGGGCGGCGCTGTCGTGGGGCCGTCACAAATGTTCGACACAACCCCGCACGCCACCAGGGGGGCCCCCGCGTCGAGGCCAGCCTCCTCCTCAGCGGCCCGCTTGCGCCAAGCTCCACGCCTCGCGTCGCCGCCGCCGGGACCGCCGGGAACGGGGACCTCCGCCCCAGGCCGCTGCCTGCCGCGCTCCGCGGCCATGATGTCGGCGAGGAGGAGCAGGGCGTCGCGGCGCAAGCGGGGTGAGCCGCACAGATGGGCGGCCTCCTGGAATGTGGGGGCGAGTTTTAAAACCCTAAATTACTCTTGAGCTGCTCCTAAATTAATTTTAGCCTAAATTTAGGTTAGGATTGGTGGTAGCTGTTGAGTGCGCGATTGAGGCGTGCAGAATCTGCGCGCTGCCTGCCGGCGGAATCTCGCGACTTCTTGGTGCATGAGCCACAAGCGACTGAGTTCACCGAATGTGTGATGCGCCGCTTTGTGCTGTATTAGCACGGTGCATGTCAGTGTCCTGGGAATTCGCGTAACGGCGGTGAAAAGTATCCAAAATTGGCACTATCGATGCGCCTTTGGCCGCGTGTTGCAATGCCATCAAATGATGAATTGGCAGTGAAAAGCGGGCCACAGCGGCACCAACGGAGGCACCCTTGCCTTGATATTTTCTGCCATTGAAATTCAATTTTCAATGTTGAACCACTCTAGTGACATCATGCTTTGCAAATAAGACAGATAAAACTCCGCTCACTTCAGAACCAGAAGGCGCCGGCCCCGCGCTGCAGCCGCCTTCGCTGTCCCCACAGCCATCCCCGGCCCCATCGCTCCCCACTCCCCCATCCGGCGACTGCGTCTTCAAGCCTCGGCTCCCTCCCCGAAGGTCCACGTGGCGCCACGCGTTTTCGTAATCGTAGAGGAACTTGCGATAGTTCGACAGCAGCTGGTTGCCCACGCTCGTGGCGCGGTTGCCCTTGGTGTAGTTGTCCAGCTTGGGGAAGACGACGCCCGCGAAGTTGATGCTGCCCACCCAGCGTCCGTGCTCGTCGTACTTCTCGTTGGCCATGAGGCCGCCGAGGGAGACGACCTCGCGGTAGAGGCCGAAGATGTCCAGGGGCCGGTTGTTGCTGCGCCGCAGGACCAAGTTGGCCATTTCGCTTTATTCCATATGGTCGCCTAAACGATTTTTCGTAAAAAGAAGTGTAAATGAGACTCATTATTTGATTTTTTTGGAGTTTGTTGTGGAAAATTCGTAATGCAAAAGGAAAACTGAACAAGCTATGCTATCGCTTGTCTAATTTTTCGCCTTTCGAGCAGCTCCGAATTGCTCGCCTCGACGTGGTGTGAATTGCTGAAGCGACATCTGCTGTGACGTACAGGATTCTGCATATTTATGTGGCGCGTGCACCATCTGAATATGCAGAACACCATACTTTTCTGTGGGTCTGATAATGCCATCGCTGGGGAGTCCCAGTTGCGATCTTTGTCGTTCTAGGTAGTGTAACATCCATTCACGGAATAAGTGCCATCCACCAGAGAAATAAGAAACAAAGGACAAGACGTTTGCATGACAGTAGTATTACCGAGTACATTTTGTTTGCGAAGCAGCAGCACTACGAATGTTGCACATACACATAATAACAAATAATGGTAAGGAAATGAAATCTCATTTCTGAATGAACATCTGGAAATTGCCAAATTCCACATTTGCATTACAAGCAAGGCATAGAGGTGCGCATAACTTGGCGAATGGCAACTTGGAAATGAGAACAGCCAAAATCAGCAATAGCATGCACAGGCGATGCCGTCCGGCGCCGCGCCCCCTCGCCGCTCAGAAATGTTCATCAGAATGGGACCAATATCATTCATTTACGTGCACGAAGTCAATAAAGTTATAAAGCTCATTAGTAGCACTTTCGGGTTTTTGGATGTTTAGGACTTATGGGCCTCGCAGCTTTTATGGCCTTCGTGACCCCTTCATGACGTTCATGTCCGGCAATGATAGGTACTGATACTGTTTGTCCGATCCGGAAAACCTCTCACCATTGCACCCTCTTCGACCGAATCTGCTCTGCCTTGGTACTCTCCCCCAGCTCCTGCAAAAAGTCCGCGAGGTCCTCCTCGAACTCCTCACGGCTGCACGCCCCCAATTCCGGCCGGCTGCTCAGCGACACGTAACCCCGCAGCTGCTCTTCCTGCCGGATCTCGTCGATGGCAGCGTCCGACAATTCCTGGGGCGCGTCACAGGTGGCGTACCTGTCGCCGCAGCATACCTTTTGAAAACTGGCATCACTTAATGTGATCAAAGTTGAATTAGTGTGTACAAGATATACCAGACATGCAAATGTTTAAACATGCTACAACTCAACAGTACGACAATTTAAATCGGCAGCTGTTCGCGATAATATTAGCTTGCAGGGCAAGACCGACATTGCATCGTTTTTGGGCAGCAACATGATTTCAAAATTATGGGTAGTCAAATTCATATACAATGCAAAGCTGACGCCCGAAAGAGCGGATACCTGATGAAGGGCAACTTTCTCATTGCTGACGCGATGATGGTAAATATGTGCAGAGAGGCGTTAGGGCGCTACTCATCACCTGGGTTCCAGTCGTTCCACTGGTGAAATGCCGCTAGATATGGTATAGGATAAGGGGTTTCATGTCCTGGATATCGAATAGGATGTGGGTCCCATATCTTGGATATACGTATCCACGATATGCCACAACCTGGATATGGTCATGTGTCCATGAGGAGGGCTCCTCACCCAGGACATGAGGCCTCCATATCCTGGATCTGCATATCCAGCATATGCAATTACTCTCCAGCGTCCAAGAAGCAGTAACAGAGTCTTCAAACCGCCATCTGAACCCCAAGCACCAGCGTACAGACCATTTCCGGCTCTTGTTGCCCAGTTGCTGCCATAGCCACGCCTTTGAGTTCAGCCTGGCTCAGAAATGCCCACTGTGTGGCCTGCGTCGACAGACATATTCATTGTGCGGACGTTTAGCCTGTGTTCGCCTCCGTCCTTCTGCTGTCGCCTTACTGTGCGCCTGTCATTTCTGCTGCTGGGAAGGGGACTATTAACCTAAGTACTAGCACGAATTCGGGAAATTTTGGTTCCGTGCCATACCGCCATGACCGATTGCATCGGCCGAGGCGGCTGGGGGCAAAACATCCAGAACATCTGTGGTTCGGAAATGTTTCAGCCAGCAGCCCGCAGCAGGACGTCAAACTTCGGTCCCGATTCCCACCCTTCCGGTTCCTCCCGGTTCCTCTCGGTTCCCGCACCTTAGCGCAGCAACGCTGCCCTTCTAAAAGCAGCTCGGTGCTGCCAAACTGGCTCCAATCGTTCGACATTTCCCTACACCAATTTCCTTGTTCTCAAGAGAAGGCGGACGCGGACCGCCCACCCGGCCTCGCGAACGACAAGGCAACTTCAGGCGCTGCCCAAGTCCAGGCACGCACCGTCCCTGCTCCAGACACCACAGCTTCACGCACTGCAGTCGACCAAATGCGGAGGTTGCTCGACGGAGGAGGAGGATCGCAGATCATGCGGTCAGGTGAGATGGAGCCCCCGGCGTTGTCGCGGGCCGGGAAGGAATTCTCATCGCGCAGGGCGGCTATGGAAAGCAGATACGGGGGGAAGGGGCCGCGATCCGGCGCATCGACGGCATAATCTGGGCAATCGCGCCGATCGGTCAGCGGTCAACAGCGTCTCAGCGGGCCGCGGGGTTGCCCGCACCGTGGGGTTGCGCGAACGGAGGCCGGGGTCTGTCGACTTGCAGCGTAGAGGGGCGCGGGCGTTCGAAGATGGGCTTTGCGGCGCTCGGGTCGATTTTCTGTGGCGCAGGGCGCCGAATCTGAATCGAGCTGAATGGAGCCCGTGCGACGCTTGCGGTTCCAGGCATTTGAACAATGGGACGTGAAAACGCAAGGCAGTCCGCCGAGCCGCGCTAATTGCATCCCGTCCGCGTCACTGTGATCGGCGCCCCCCAGTGCCGCGAATTCCAACCTGGGAGTGCGATCGGCACTGTCAACCTAGCTGCGCAACCAGGTTGCTCTCTGGTGCGATTTGTCGTCAACCATCGCCAGCGTGTCCGATTTGCCTTCCGCGATGCTGTCAAGGCGGCGCCATCAGAGCGCGCCCCGAGGCAGCCTTGCGGCCCGCGGCAAGCGACAAGCCTCGCTGTTCGACGCGGCGGGCGCGGCAGGCAGGGCGGGCGGTCGACGGCGAGGGGTTCCCATCGGAAAACAAGCCGGCCGGGCTCGACCCAATGCGCCCTCGCGTGGTCCCGCGCCACAGGGCTTTCGCCCGCATCTGCCACGCGCCCCTTACCGTCCCCTGAACAGGGACCTGTTGAGATGAGGCACTGGACCGGTTGGCCCTCTAATTGCCCGCCGGTCTCCCCAGTAGTTTATGCACCGCATAGTTAACGTACCATGCCCTGAGACCCAACCCCGACCACCCAAAAGGAGGACAGAACGGCACTTTAAATTCGCACTTAAGCACACACCCCTAGGGCTTGTCCTGCCCGTCCTGCCCCTAGCAGAGGGCGTCAAAAACCCAATGCAGCCGCGCAACGCCCACCAAGTGCCAGGCGGAGCCAGCCGTTGTTGGACCGGCCACACGCACCCACCGCTTGTCGTGGTTCATCGAGCAGTGCCACGGCCCGCCGTCGACCTTCTGCCGCTTCAGCCGCCGCCACCGCGCGCACCTGTCGCACAGGATCCACGCGTCGCCCCTGGGGCCGCAGCCTCCTCGCCTCGCCGGCCCTTTCCTCTGTCCGACCTCCCCGGGCGCCTCGACCGGCGATCCGCGATCCCCTCGACCTTCCATCGGAGAACCACACCGGTCGATCGAGCTCGGCCGCCCGGCATCCGTACCCCCGAATCCGGACGTTCGGATTTGAGACGCCGGTGGCAACCGTCCGCCAGCGCCATCCGCGGTGATGCCGACGGGATCTGTGCCCAAGATCGGCCCTTTGTCATCGCCGCCGAGGGGAGATCCGGATGCTCGCCGGGGGGCCGGGTCGGAGGAGCCCTCGCCTGGCGCGCAGCCCGCGGCCTGCAAAGCCCGCGTTCAAAATGCCGCTTTCACGGATTCGACATGGCATGCACAGCTCAAGGCTCCTCCCAGGCAGCGGGACCGCTGGTGTTCTGTGTGGGCCCTAAGGCGGCGCAGCCCAGCTGAGGCAACCCCGCGCGCTCCACCCCCGTCTGTCCGGCCCATCGACGGCCAGGCTACAAGCGAAAATCGAATACGCTACTCGCAGCTTCTGACAGCGTCCGAAGACCACACACCGATCACCACCCACCCACTCCACCCTCCCAACCTGCACAACCACACTCACAACCACCCACCCACACTTTCACACGCCCGGAGTCGCCCAAAAATGAGTCAGTTGCGCGTCGGCAAACTCCAGCGCACCTCGAGATCAAAGCCACCACTGCCTTCCCGTTCCAGGCCATTCTGTCGAGGCCCTTCTGGGACTCCACCCGCCCCACCGGCCCCGCCCCCGCGCGCCCCGCGGCAGCCGTACATTCGCCGCAGCTCGAACAGCGGCGTGCCCTCGTACTTCACCGACGTCCAGCCGTCGTCGGCCTTGCGCGCCGGGTTCTGCTTGCGCTTCATGTACAGCGAGAAGGAGGACGGCGTGCTGAAGGCCAGGCCCTCGAAAAAGATCTCCCCGTTGCGGCCCAGGTCTGTGCGCGCAAGCAGATACTTCAAGGGGCGGCGAGCGCTTCAAACGGGCCGGTGGGAACCCAACTGATCGGCGTGCAGGACTGGAAAAATTGCAAGTTGTTCTCAATACACGAGTTACTCTCCGGCGAGGTGTCTTCTTGCTCCCTGTTTGTCAATTGCCCCCGGCTTGCGCGCGGGGATTGGGTCCTTGGTCCGTCTGGATTGGCCCCGGATAGTTCGGGTGGCGCCTGGCGCGCGCGGCAGCTAGACTGGATCCCCGATTGGCCGGGAGGGATTGATTGCGCGTCGGGCGATTGCGCCCACGGCTGCGCAAGCTCCGCCTAAGGGCGTCACGAAGGCCCTATTCGATCCATACGCCGACATATCCGCGGCCTAAAGGCACGGATGCAGAGGGCTCGACGGGGGCTCTCGATCGGGGCGCCGGGGCGCGAGACAGAGAACCGAG